CAGCATCCGCATCATCAGCATCATCATCCTCATCGTCATCGCCGTCATCGCCATCATCATCATCATCATCATCATCATCAGCATCATCATCATCATCGTCATCATCATCGATATTTTCCTCATCGTCACCATCACCACCATCACCACCATCGTCATAAACACACTTCATCGTCACCATCGCCATCATCATCCTCATCGTTCTTAACACCGCCATCAACATCATCAACATCACCATCATATCATGAGCATCACAATCATAATAATCATTATCAGCACCATGATGAAGATCATCAGCACCAACAGCATCATCATCCCGCACACTCACACACTCACACGCTCAGCCGCACATTCATGTTGAGGGAATCTCGAAGGGGGGCCTCGTCCGTGGTTGACTCCCGAAGATGTCTTGAGCGGGAGCCCATCCCTATGGGGCCATCACTTCCATGTTCACGTCCAAACTGGGCCATCCAAACCCTGTACGTGCCCTCACTTCTGGGTCTCGCAAGCCTGGGTATGGAGCAAATCTCGAACGGGAGCCTCGGTTGCGAATGAATCGGGAAGAAGTCTCGAACGGGAGCCCCTCCTTATGGGGTCCCCGCTCCCATGTTCAAATCCTAGCAGACTCGCTGAAACCCTGTAATTGTCCTCACTCCGAGGCCCCTCAGGCCTGAATCTGGAGGACGTCTCGAGCGGGACGCAAGGACATCTCGAGCACTGAATGAATCACCCTGTAGCTGCCATCGTTTTAAGGCCCATCAGGCCTGAATCAAAAAGCAGCCTCGAGCAGGAGCATCGTTCGCGACTGATGCGCGAGGAGATTTCAAGCGGGAGCCCATCTCCCCATGGGGCCCCCGCCTCCGCGTTCGAATCCGAACGGGGCCATCCAAATCTCTCACCTGTTCTGGCCTGCCCCCCTCGCGCACCGGCGGGGCCCCCACCCCGAAACGTCGAATGGGGCCCAGTCGACGCCCGCAACCTCCGTCACCCCGCCACCGTTGTCTGGCCAAGTCTCTTCGGCAGACGGCCGAGATGCCTGTTCTCTCAGAATGGGGGGGGCACCTGATACCGGACTGCCCAGCGCAGAACGCGGCGGCGGCGGGCCGACCGACCCCAAGCGGCATCCGCCTGCAACGCCTTCTGCCGACGGCGCTGAACTGCCCTGGCGGGCCCGCCCAGGGCTGGTTTGGCGCTCTCCTCAGCGGCCCCGCTTGCCCCTGCCCCTGACCCCCCCTGGAGCGGGGGCCCAGCGCTGCCCAACACTTGCTTTTGAGATCCAGCGTCGATGCCTATCTCGCAACCCAGGCCCATTCCCACCTGCCCGGGCTGTTTTCGATCGGCGCTGGCGACTCAGACGCCCCCGTCTGCGCCACCCCCGTGGAACTGCTGCGGCATTCTGGCGGGCCGCCGGCTGCGCCGCGCGCGAATGCCCGCGAGGCCCGCCGCGAAGCCCGCGCGCCTCGAAGGGCCCGGCCTGCGAGGCGCGCCAAGGCGGACCTCGCCAGATGCCAGCGCGACATCAGTTCCCGAGCAAGAAGCGGCTGCAAGAAGTGCGGAAAACCCGCTGCCCCGATCGGGCGACGATCAGACGGGCGCGAAGCGCGCGCGACTTTGAAGCCCCGCCCGCACTCCGCGGGAACCATTCCCTCCGCGAAGGCGCGCACCCCCGTCAAGCGCCTTCCCCCCGCCCGCGGCTCAAGGGGCTGGCGCGCGAAGGGGGGGGGCGCCTTCGCCAGGAGGGAGCGCCCGCCAGTCACGGGGGCTCGGGACAGCCCGCGCAGCGAGCGGCCGCGAAGCCTGCGGCGACCCGGCAGTCCGGATCGCGCTGCGAACGGACGAATGACGGGGAAACGCTGTCTCCATGCCCTGCCCGACTCCCAGTGGGCCCCGCATCACCGCGAGGGCACCCCCCCGCGAAGCGCCTCCCCCAGCCCGCGGCGGGAGGGGGGGGCGCACGGACAGGCGGGCGCCTTCGCGACAGGAGAGCGCCCACCGTTCGACAGGGGTTCGGGGCCGCCCCGACGACGCGCGGGGAAACCCGAGCGAGGGCCCCAAGCCAATTCAAGGTCGCGCGACGAACCAGCAATCTCGACCGGGCGACGACGAGACAAGAGAACGGGAGCCAACGAAGCCTCGGAGCCCTGCGCGACCCACACAGGACCCAACCCGCGCCCGCGAAAGCGCGCGCCCATCGCCGAAGGCCCACCCCCCGCCCGCGGCAGGATGGGGGAGCCGGCGAACGAGCGGGCGCCGTCGAAGTCGGAGGGCGCCTACCGGTCGGCGAGGACTCGCTGCGAACCTACTGGCGCGACCCCCTCTGGGCCTCCGCCAGGCAGGAAACGAGCGGAGGGCTTGCCATCAGCCGCGCGGTCCGCCTGCTCCCGGACGCGAGGCGACCGCCGCGCCCGCCGCATTGTAGCGGCGGCCGTCTCTCGCGCTCTCCCGCCAGCGGGGCCCCCGCCTCGAATGGTCGCACGGAGCCCCTCAGCACTGGGGTCGCTGCGCCGGTGGCTCGGCCGGCCGGCGCCGCGGCGCGCCGTCGCCCCGCGATGACCAGCAGCCCTCAGCTGCCTGGCGGCCATTACCCGTGCGACAGCGCCGGCCACCCCTGATCCACCGCCCGCGGCGCCGCCGCCGCCGCCGCAAGAACGCCTCGTCGGGCCCCGCCGGCCCACTGAGCACAGCTTGCTGTCGCGCTCGATCAGGCCCTGCGCGGCCGTCTCCTGGCGCTCGAGCGCGCCCCCCAACAGCTTCGCGAGCTGCCCATTTTTCCGGCCCGTCTTGGCAAGCCCGCGGAGCCCGAGATGTCAAGGAACGGGGGCAGGCGATCGCTCACCCCGACGGGCCGCGCCTCGTTCAACATGGGAACTTTAGGGCGGGCGGAATGCGCGGCAGCCCCCCGCGAACGCGTTCCAGGAGAGGCGCCCGCCCTCGCTGCAGGGGCGAACGGTCGAGTCCCTGAGCGCGCCCTCGGTGGCCCCCACCCTCCGAGAACGCAGGCGCATGCTTGATGAGCTTCTGGCGGGCCCCCTCGCCGCCTGAGCCGACGGCGTCTGCGACGGCGCCAAGCCCCCTCTCCGACAGCCCGCCGCTCAGTTTGGCGCCCCCCCTGTCGCGTCGATGGCGGGGGCCAGTTCGGTCGCCCTCAGGACCGCCAGGGTGCCCTCCTGCACGGGGATCTCGTGGCCGAAGTAAATTCATCTCCGCCCGCCTGGCCCGCCGGGCTGCACTCCTGGGACTGCTCGCTCTGCCTCGCATCCTCGTCGCCAGCCATCTCCGCGCCGCCCGTCGCGACGGTGGAGCGCCACGGGGAAATGGCGCCGCGGCGCACCCGCGCGTTGGCGTCTTGCTCAGACAGCCCGCGGCCGGCTCGCCCATCTGCGTCGGCACCGCGCCGCGCCCACTTCTCCAGCATGAGGGGGGCCGTCTTGCAGCGCGGGCGCGCATGCGCAATGTGCTTGTCGCCACCGAGGGCGATCGCGAAGACTGCTGCGGCTTCCAAACGCTCGTCATTTCGGATAGCCTCGTAAATCTCTTGCAACATGACGACAAGCACCACTGGACAGTCCATGTGCTTCGCGAGTTTCGACTCCACGGCGTACTCGATGGACTTGGCACGCTGCGACGGTGGCTTCTTTTTCTGTTTGCCCCTCAGGTTGAATCATCCAGCCTTCAAGCGTTCGGGCCCTGGCCTGATCCAGAAATTAAAATCGCCACGCTGCTTGCCTCCGTGACACCTGAAGCAGATGCAGCGGCACGGGCGCAAGGGGCCCGGGACTATATTGATGAAAGTCCTCGGGTAGTCGCCGCCCATGGCCTGGACAACGTGCTCGCGTGCGGCGACCGAACTGACGCTCTGGAACCATCCAGTCCCACCGCTCTTGTAAGCCGAGACGGAAAACGACACGAAGCCGTGCTTTTCCTGACAGAAACCGCACGTGACACGATTGGTCGCGACAACGTAGCCACCCAGGAACTTGCGCGCGCCGATGGCCTTCTTGACCAAAGGCGTCAACTTCATCTCGGCGGTGATCTCAAAGGCCACGTGTCCTCCTCGGACCTCTCCCCAGCCCTGTTCGCCCGACCGCGAGCTCGGCGAGGGCTGACCGGAGGGAGCCTGCCAGCCTGGCGGCCTGGCTCCCGTCCTGGAGGGTCATACGGAACGCTGCATCACGCTCTCGGCCCTGCTCCGCGGTCCTCCGCCTCGGCCTCTTCTGCGTTCATCCTACGCGGCGGCATGGCAAGCGCCAGGGAGGCTTAACGTTTGACTCCGCCGCGGCGCGGCGTCGAGAGCGCAGGCCCAGAGGCCAGCTGCAGCGCCCAACCGTTGTTCAGAAACGACCGAGCGCCTTAGTCCAAATGGCCACAAACGCCGGGCACGGGAGACGGTTCACAGTCGCGCGGGCACACGAGGGCGTGGTGCTCGCCTGATCGCCGCGAACTTTTGTCTTGAAACCCTTCAGTACGAGCATGGATGGAGGGTGGCCTGTTTTCAACATGTGGCTCTCGCACCGGCGCCCCACACACCTGAAAACTAAAAACGCGGGAGTTATCAGAATGGAGAGTGGCTCGTTGAAAATTGGGTCATGGCTTGAGACTTCCTCACACATCGGCGACCCGAAAGAATGGAAGGCGGTTCATTTACGAAACAGAGCTCTCGCACGAGAGGTCCTCGACATGTACGCCGCGAAATGTACAACTGTGCAGTGCAACAGCTCCACGGATATAGAGGGCAGCCCGATTCGAAACAAACTCCCGCCTGGCACATCCTCGATTTTGCGGGCCGTAGCAAGGTCGTCCAAGCGGTTCCTTCTCACAACGGGGCTTTCGCCTGAATGTCAGCTCCGTGGGGCGCTCATGTTTCAAAGGATCGACTCGTGCAATGCAGAGAAATACCTCGGGACTTGGGAAGGGACACTATATTACAGCATCGTTGACGCAGCCTGGGTTTACCTCAGCTCCCCTCCCTCGTCCCCTTCCACCACCCGCTCGATCCTCCTCGC